TCGACCGTTTACGTCTCACCTTCAGCCTGATATCATGCGCATGAGCTGCCATGAAGCCCTTCCCAATCGCAATATGCTTCCATGAGATGGTCAAAAAAGTTCGAATTGCCGACTTGTTTTTGGTTTTCTTGTTCGTGTTCTTGTCCTTGGTCTCTTTTTTGTTTTGTTTCAAACTTCTTGGCTTCTTTTCAGCACTTGGCTCCAGCTGTACCATGACCAAACGTGATTCCCTGCTTGCCGGCTTCACGTACCCTTCATCTTCCATGAGCATGCCACGTCGTTACTCATGGAGATCTCGTAGTCATGGACATCCCAGTAGCACTGCTGCTCCTTCGGACCCATTTACTCCTTCTCGCAGTGACACTGATCCCACAGCTTCTGATGGTGGGCCATCCATCCTACCTGCAGGCTCAGGTGACCATACATCCCATTATGGGTACTCAACTGCAGACACGGCCGCACCCATCCCAGCTCCTGCCGATCACCAGACTCCAATGCTTCCAAGACTTGAAGAAGAAGCTTATCCACTCCAGACGGAATTGGCAGAAACTCGTCGTCAGCTTCACGCATACTACTTTGTCGAGGTTCAAACACCTCAAGCTGACAATTCCCAACCGGCACTTCGCCGACTTATGGTGACGGAAGTGGATCGACGTGGGGTCCATCGAAACAGGCAGCCGGAGTTCTTCTTCAATGGGATCATCGGCCACATTCGTGCTGGTCGAAACGGTTGGATTGACTCTTGGGATCAATCCTCCCAACTTGCCAACTACTGGCGACGCTATTTCCAAATTCCAGAAATGCCCCCGGATGGAAATTGGCATCCCTATCACCATGAAGCTCCAGAAAGCCCAGTATATACAAGGATCCGGCATGGATGACACCGACTCCATCGCCGCCAACGTGGACATTACTCCACCACCTGTCCAGATTCAACAACTGGCAACCTTCTTCTGGAACATTCTCAACAATGACAGGGATGCCAACATGGCAATACTCGAACGACTCGAGGATCCAGATGATGACCTGACAAGACATCCGGTCCAGATCTTCTCGGCAGCAGACTTGGCTCACCTTGCCAGTCACCTGGCAGAATCTACCCGCACATTGTCAGATCAAGCCCTTCGAATGGAGGCACTTTCCGACGAGGCGTTCTGAGCTGTAGGAATAATTCAGCAGCTGATTTCTTCCCTGTATTTTGATCTTGCGTTAAGCGCTACATCCAGCTTCAGGGCCCCAATAAGAGCTTTCCGAACCATTCCGCAAATGGCAAAAAGCAGCCTCGCGGCAGCGAGGCGTGTGTGTGGACCATCTGAACAGATGTAAAACTTCTATCCGGTACTTCGATGCACTTTTGTTTTTTGTAAAGGTTAATGATTTTCTGTTTTCAATTTCACGCAGGGGGTGGATGCATGGTCTGGCAGTCATCCACCAACGAAGACACTGCCTTTCCATGGTGATATGACGAAGGGACGCCTTTGTCACGTACCTGCTTCATTTTCGGACATGGGATGTGGCTAACCCAAGAACCACCAAGCCGGTTTCCAACAATCTGTTTACTTTCCTGTTTGCACGGTTTTCGCAATCTGATTTACTGCTGACTTCGTCAGATGGAACAGTTGCATCTAGCAAGGACGTAGAAAGAATCCTTCTTCACTGTTTCTCACGTCTAGTCATCCACTTCCTCCTGTCAGGTTTAATTGAAGTGCTTGTGCACGTACGATGCATTCCACATCAGTAATTCGATAAGATGTTTCTGAGCAAGTGTGTGAAGTGATTGTATGTGAGAGATGGTATGTGTGTGAGTGTGTGTGTCAAGTTAGTGTATGTTAAGTTTGTGTGTGTGTGTGAAGTTATTGTATGTGAGAGATGGTATGTGTGTGAG